ATTTTACAAATTAAAAAAAAAAGGAAATTAATATGAAATAAATAAGCCCAATGATAAAAATCAGACAATAAAGAGATTTTACAAATTTTAAAAAAAGGCAAACAAATATGCGAAATATTTTCAACCTTGTATTAATATCAATTACTATGAAATACTGTAAACATATCAAGTGAGGAAAGATCATTTTCTGGTAATGATACCCAGCTTTAACAAGGAAATAAGCTCTCTCAAGTACTGTCTACAATATTATGAATTTGCACAAATTTTTTTTATATAAATTTACTTGAAAAAATTTGGCAGTCAGGATCAAAGCCTACACTCAGAACTGTCACTTGTAGAATTTCCCTAAGAAAGTAGTCTGAAGTATGAATAAAAACTTAATCTACAAATGTAATCTTGTGTGCATGTTTATATTATATTATTATATATCAAAAATTATTTAGTAAGAAAATAGGCCCTAATGAGTCAGCCCTGTAACCTAGTGTTTAACGGAACCAGCTCTGACATGGCCAACCACAGTTCGAGTCCCAGACTCAATGACTTGAAAAGCATCCTGTTATTCCTGGAGAAATGAAGAAGATGGAATTAAGGCATGAACATACTCAATTGGGGAGGTGTTTTCTCCTCCCCATTCACTCTCTCTTTCTTTGTCTCTGTCTGGCTAGTGTTTCTACTCTGTGATATGTACAAAAAATAAAGAAAAGAATGTGGGCATTATATATTAAATATTATATCATATGGCAATTTAGTATTTTATGGACAGTCTCTAACAATTATGTCATATAATTAGTTTTTTCTGACATTAAAGATAAAGAAACTAAAATCTGGAGATATTTAGAAAATTTCCCCAAATTATATGACTGTTAAGGAGTGAATCATTTATCTAAAACATATATAGTTTGGCAATAAAATTTGCTCACTTAACCATGATGTTAGGATATTCATTACACCCTTATTTATGTGAGCGTGTGTATGTATGTGTGTGTATATATATATACACACACATATATATGTATATATATATACACACACACACATATATATATGTATATGTGTGTGTATATATATACATATATATATATACATATATATATACACACACATATACATATATATAAGGTTTTTGTCATTGGGCATGTGCACTTGTACACACATATATATATATATTTTAGGTTTTTGTCATTCAGCGTGTGTACTCCTCCCACCCCGGGGAGGGGAGAGGTCACACTAAAATCTCACCTCCTCCATTCTCCTCTCAGGATTTTGGGCACACACACACATGTGCCTGACATGATTTTCAAGCCATTGGTTCTGGAACTTGAACGTGCTCTATCATGTAGGAATCCAGTGCATTTACTACAACTTCACCTCTGGCCCCATCCTTAATTTATAACAAAAAAAGGAACCACTTGTGTATAGACATCAGGATTTAAAAATCATTTTGTACCCATATACTGTAGAGAAAAGAATGGTCATAGTTTCAAGAAGTTTTCAGAATATATCAAACTTGTCTTTTTTTTTTTTTTTAAGAGGATTTTTGTATAGGGTGTATGCACTCGCCAGACAGACAGAGAGATAGAAAGTGAGAAATTACCCCCCAGGGGGGATGGCCATACCACAATCCCTTTTCCTCCATTCTCCTCTCGGGATCTTGGGCATGCACGCACATGCACCTGGCGTGAGTTTAAGCCACTGGGTCTGGGACTCAAACCGCAGTCGACTACATGGGAATCTAGTGACATAGCCATTACGCTAACTGCTGGTCCCTATCAAACTTGTCTTTACATTAGTAATAAAAAATTAGTTGCCATAACAGTATTTTCCTTGGATAGGTGGCAAAAAGAAAGACAGCTTTATGAACCAGATGGCCTATATTTGAATTCCAGGTCTACTGCTAACCACGTAAGGTTTTTCTAGAAATTAAGTGAGATTATCAGTATAATAATAATAAGAGTACCAGGTACATCATGATGCTGAAGAATCACATACATCTCCGATAACAACTAGAGTCTCCCTGGTCCCTGAGGGTAGATACAACTCCTCAAACTAACACTTCCATGACTTCAAAAGTCCCAAGGATTTTTTGAAAAATTCCAAGACCTTAGGGTTTTTCTTGTTCCCTACATTCAACTTGCCATTCCCTTCCATCATGGCAGAGAGCCAGATATGAAAGTCAACCCTCGCTAAGCATTTGCGAGTAGAATTTACAGAAATACTTGGTGTCATGGAGAGAGGTAACATCAAGCACCACCAGTTTAGAACAGTAACTACTGCCCCCTTGCTTATAAAAGTATCTCTTAAACTCAAGTCGTATTTTAGACAAACCTATACCAACATTTTCTACCACCATCACACCAACAGAATTCTCTTGGTCCCACATCTACATGGTGCCAGTCTCTTCCCCACGGAGCAGGGCAATCTTTTCTTAAATGCTTTAGTGTCAGCTAACACCTAGCATGTAAACACACATATACACACATCCATGCACGCTCTTACACACACACAGAATGTTACACTTGGAAATCACTCTCTAAACATCCTTAATGGCACTCATTTCTGGAACTGAGTGTATAATGACTTTAATTTTTGTCTTTATGCTTTTTTACAATTATTCTTCAATGAACAAGTATTTCTTTTATAATCCAGAATTTTTTTTTAATATTTGTCAAGTTATTTGTGTTTAATTTCCTTTGTCCCTCTGAGTTTAAGGATTTTCAGCTGTGAACAAGCCTTTTAGATAACTTGCTTTCTTAAGTATCCGTTTCTTTTGCCCATTCTGCTTTGGAGGTACTTATCTTTTCCCTGTAATAATTTGTAAATATTTTCCTAGTTTATTGTTTGTCTTTTAATTCTGTTTCACCTTTTAAAAAACTTTTAAAGTTTTAAATAATAAAAAAAAAATGTTTAAAAGAAAGCAAAGTAGGTGAACCAGAAGGTAGCATGACAGTTAAGGCCCTAGATCTCATATACCAACTCCACAGTTAAGAGTCCCAGACCTGGCTCCTTGAAAATCATGCTGGGCATGTATGAGTATGTGCCCAGAATCCTGAGGCAAGAATGGAGAAGGGATTGCAGCATGATATTTCTCCCGGTGCTGGTGGTGGTGGGCGGCGGTGTGTGTGTGTGTGTGTGTGTGTGTGTGTGTGTGTGACTTCCCACTTTCTTTCTTCCTTTGTCTCTGTCTTTCTCTGGTGAGTGCACATGGCCTATAGCAAAAACTGAAAAAAAAGAGAGAAAAATACTATGTAATAAGTTTATGAAAATATTACCTTGTTATTTAGTTACATGCTTCAGTTAGCTAGAAATTTGTATTTATATAGGATGATTTATAAAATTAAATAATGCTAATAGTAGCAGGAAAATGACATTAAAATATATTAGTTCCCATAAAGATGAAGCATTCTATTGAATATTCAAGTATCTTACCTTACATTTTCCTATTTTATTTAGCTAAAATCTATATTCATCTGATTAAAATAAGCTTCTTTTATATTAATACATGACTGCGCAGGAAAAGCTTTAGTGTTCAATGGTGCCTAAAGTAATAGATTGTTCAACTAATGTATATTTTTAAAAAATACGGTCCCAGATATCATCAGGAATGAAGCCTCACTTTATGGAGACATGGCAGAGGCCCTGGAAAGTTCACCTTTTCCATTTCATTTGAGTTAACTCCACACATTGATGTGATAACCATTCATCTCAATCATTTTAGTACGAGGAATAATGGATGTACAGTAACAACCACAGACAGGTTACTTTTTAGAACCCCTCAGGTGAAAGCAGCAGTATCTGAGCACAGCTAGCATACAGAAGTGCTTCATAGGTCGTAGGTACAAGAGCACAAAAAGGCCTCAGGAAGGAGAACACACCAGGCACTGAAGAATCCCATGTATCAAAGCCAGGCAATAGGACCCTCTTCTGCTTTATTTTTCTCCTGTTTTCATACAGAACAGGGTCCCTGTATTTTAAGGGTTCCTCAAAGATAGTTGTTCTACAGATCATTTAAATACTGAGATTAAATCCAGACTGAACAGGGGCTGAAGAGGTTGAGGCCTGTTAGGTTTACTCCACATTTCTTTTTTTCTTTTTTCTTTTCTTTTTTTCTGGAGAGGTTTTTGCTATAGGGCACATGTGCTCACCAGAAAGACAGAGAGAGACATAGAAGGCGAGATAACACCCCCCAGGGGAGATGGCCACAGCGCAATCCCTTCTCCTCCATTTTCCTCTTGGGATCTTGGGCATGCACACACACATGCCCGGCGTGAGTTTAAGCCACCAGTTCCGGGACTCGAACTGTGATCAACTACATGGGAGTCCAGCAACATAGCCATTACGCCAACTGCCGGTCCCAGGCTTACTCCACATTTCTAAAATAGAGAATGCAATTGGCACAGACTTTTTATGGCCTGCCCCTTGTTCAAACAAGTGAAGACAGTGATTGTCTCGTATGTAGTCTTCTCTCATACTTTTAAAGACCTTCTAGGTTTTTTCAGCTAACTTTTTTTTTATTATATTGAGTCATCAGAAAAGTCATGACCTATTTTTCTGTTTTTCTATACAAAAATGTATCATGATTTTTCTGACAACCTGATAGTTTTCAAGAGCCAGTCATATGGATTAGATGACTGAAAACAGAGATCATTGGGTGCTATATACAAATCCCTAAAGAAATCCCTAATAGATGTGTCTTCGATATTTAAAAAATGAGTATAAATAAAACAGTAAGAACACTAACTGAAAAGGAAGCTACTTAAGAACATGAGTTAAGCAAAAAGAAGAAAGCATTATTAAAAATCCTATCAGTGTTACATAGTATCAGCTCATGCTTCATTTATTTGATCATGGTATGCTAATTATAGAAGGATAAAACCTGTCCACATTCACATTCAATAACTCACATGTAGGGATGATGAGAAATAAGTCATTTCCATTCGACAGTAGGAATCTGAAAGCTGTAGAGTGAGGCATCTCACACCAACTGACAGCACTGCATGAAGAGTGAAAGGGTTGGGGTAGGGAGTTGCAGAGGGACCGTTCCCAGAGACACGTGGCAGCACAGTGAGCCTCAGGTGTCTGCTGACTGCCCGGTGCAGTGGTCCCCTCGTGTAGTCTTCCCTCAGACTTTTATAAACCTTGTTGTTCTTGTTCTCAAGCATTATTTCATTATTGTGAATACAGACTTTACCACCTATCAAAAACAAAGGGGAAAAAGTCAATTTTATAAAACGCTGTTACAAGTAATGCATGATGCAGGTTCTTTTGTTAATGCAAGAAGGAAAACAACAGATTTAAATAACAGGAGCATGAAATATTCCAGGGACCTAGGGAGTCTGATAAATTAATTATAATTTCCATTTCATAAGATGGAAATACTATTCAATATCACAAATTATGAAGTACCAATGTCTGTAGTCATTTGGCTAAATTCACTGGTTCAACACCTTACTGCATGAGAAACTTAACTTACACTTCAAATTATACTTCAGATGTTTCCCATAAAGATATATAAATCTTATTTTAAGATGTTGTATAGAAAGAAGGGCAACGTTGAAAAAAATCAGATGTAAATTAGAGTAGAAAAATTGTTATTGTTGAAAGTTAAGGCCTCAGCAGTAATATCTTTTTTGCTCTTATTTTCAAATTGATGGGTGAACTTGTATTATAAATTTTATAAGGTGAAATAAAATAATAAAAGAAAAATAAGCATAATCATAATTCAGCAATGAAAAATTATGCATGTTAGTCTACCAGGAGCTTGGCATGCTCTAAACACTAGCAATTTCTTGCCGACATTCCAGAAATTTAACCATCTTATTTGCACAGATTGAAACAGTTTAAAGTGACAAAAAAAAAGCAAGCTACTGCTTTTTCCTATCTTTCTTCCACACATATGCATGCAACACAACTGCAGTTATTCAACTTCTAACTCATGTTAACATAATCTAATTCATCTAATCAGTCACCATTAATATTTGACACAAGTTCAGTCAGTAAAGGACAAAATCAGTTTCAAAACTTATTCTGTATTCGAATTGCTAACATCCATTGGTCTTTATTTGTATAGATGTAATTATAAAAACTAAAAATTTGCATTCATCTTTCCCAATTTAACGTTCGCCACAAAACCCGTTAGGAATGTTAATATTAGCCAGGTGCAATGCACATTTTCTCCCCAAACTGCTTTCCACCATTACATTGTCTCCCTGGAGTTTCTGCAGGGCCATTTCACAACCTGAAATCCTTCCCTAATATTGCCGTGTACAAGGACTCCGGTAGAGACATCCTAGCTGTTACCTCCTAGTCCTGCCTTTTTCAACTATACATACACTTCTTCCTTTCTCTTTCACAATCTGGAGTCCAAAGTTCGTTTTTATCACAGATTAAAGTTTTTAAGTAAATAAATTGCCTGGCTTTTTTTTTTCTTTTTTACATTCTTTTTTTTGGGGGGGAGGCAGAGGGCATGTCTTTCCTTTTCTTTTTTAAAAATAATTATTTTATTGAACTTTTATTTATTTTTATTTGATCAAAGAGGGACAGAGAGAGAGAGAAAAAGAGACAGCAAGCTGCCAGGTCCAGGACTCAAACCATGTTTGGCCATGTGGAAGTCCAGTGCCCTTAACCACCACACCACCTGCAGGCCCCATCAGAGGGCAAGTGTCTTTCTAACTGGAGATTGACAGAGGGACAGAGAGAGAGAAAAGCACTCCCCAGTGGGTCATGGTCACACTGCAATCTGTTCTCCTCACTTTCTCCATCCTTTCAGGATTTGGAGCATGTGCACACACACACACCCACTCTCACCCCAGGTTTATTTCTCAAGCCACCTGAGGTCAGGATTCAGACCATGGTAGACCATGTGGGATCTAGTCCTCTTAACTACTAGGCTACAGAGCTGGTCCTTCTTTTCATTTTTGATTCAAATTTTTGGGGTACACTTGATTGTGTATTGCTGATAACTGCAGTTCGAAGAAAGTAAAAGTTAATGTCTTTATATATTTAGAGTTATTTTTAGTCCCTAAGGAAAAAAAATGTCGTCTCATTGATATCTTTTCAATTTAAAGCTAGGTCTAGTGTAGTTCACATTTCTTTTAAAAAATTGCTTATAAACCCTATAAGAATCAGATGTGCGAAAACATGTATTATAATTTCTTTTCACTTTTCAAGTTCTAGTGAACTCAGTAAATCATACCCAGATGGCCATGAAAGAGTGGTTAAAAAAAGAACCCCCTCCCACCCAAAAAGGGGAGAAGAGAGGGTGGTATTTATTTCTTCACTGCAGATTTGTTTATTTCACCGTTAACAAAAAGATATTGGGCTTTTTGAGGAAATTTTGCTGAAGAATTCAGGCAAGACAGTAGCCCTTTGTTCATCGTAAAATAAACACATCTGAAGCAGAAGATGTTGCCTAGGAGAATTCATCTTGTTTTCTAAAATGTAGATGAACACTTAGAGCCAATTCTCTTGCAAAGCTTGCGGCCTGTGTGATCAGGTGGGGGTGATACATTTGGCCTGAGTCTGCTTTCTTATCTGTTCTCATCAATATCCCGTCATTTGCCCAGTTCAGTCTACATCTGCTCTCTGCTTTATTTTCTCAGAATTGTTCTAGATATTTACCCATTAATCTCATGAATTGACAGTGATAGCTTTTTTTTTTTTTTTTTTTGAGGGGTTTT